TGAAAGCAAAAGAGCAGATGAGCTATTTTAAGGTCTGTTCTTCCAGCAGTTTGGTGAACATCTTAAAGAAAAATAAGAATTAAATAAATAAAAAAAAAAAATGACACCAAACTGCTCAGTTTTCATTGCATTATGCAGATGAAATGACAAGTTGTCATTTAAGAAGTTAATAAACAGTCACCATTTTGCAGGTTATCCAAATGCTACTGAATAGAAAACCTTGGATCCCTAAATGATGTGTAATTAAAATTATTTTAAAAATCCTCCTTGACAGGCCAGGGCTTAGCCAAAATGTAAATGACATTAAAGAAGACAATGAATTTAATTTTATTTAATGTCCCTTTTTGCAGATCCTCATTTACATAGCATTTTTAACAAAAGCGTTGACCTTATAAATGCTGGCATTTGTACAGCTTCTGCAGAGTTGGATTTAATCATGCTTTCGCAAAGCCATAAGGGAAAAAGCTTTAAGTTCTCTGGTTGGATATGGAGTAGGAATAAAAACATTGGGACTGGTCAAATGTTTATCCTCCTTGCTTCTGAAAACAACCTGACAAGAAGATGTAAAGGTCTAGGGAATAACCCATTGCTGTTTGTAAGGCTTGGTAATAATCATACATAATCGTTTGGAAATATAGCTAATAAAAAATATAATGAGTGTTCAGCAAAATCGGCATTAGGCCCAAATTACATGATATTAATACTTGAACAGGTGCAGAAAGGCGCTTTAAATGAGGTAAATGAATAAAATGTCCCAGAGCACAACTGTGTGCACTGACAAAAAGTCAATCACATGAATAATTCAGCGGCCGGGACTGCCAGCAAAGGTCAGCGGCTCTCACCTTTGTGACGGGAAGTGAAAGGAAACGCTGCTGACGAAAAAAAAAAAAAACAACAAAAAACAAAACCCCCCTCGCCCTCCAGCCGCCAACCCGACAGAGGTGTAAACTTGGAGTAGGGAGGAATTAAAGCGCTGCACCGGCGAGCCGGCAGTAAAAATAAATAAATAAATAAATAGATAAATAGATGAATAGATAAATAGATAAATAAATAAATATATATATATATAGATAAATAAATAAATAGATAAATAAATAGATAAATAAATAAATAAATAAATAAATATTATAATAAAAAAAAAGCTGGAACAACCAAGTGGTTTAGGGAAAATCAATCTGAAATTTCAGCCAGGGAAAGGTTAAGAAGGGGTGTGTGTGGGGGGGTGGCTAAAAGAAATGTCAATTATCTCCCAAATCTGAGGTCAGGCAAAAGGTATTTCAAGAGCCTACGGGATTGAAATTTTGTAACAGCTGTTATATATGACAAAACTTTTTATTCCCCCAAACTACAGCTATTCCAAACTCCGTATGAAAGAAATGGGATAAGCAGATGTCTGGCTCCCATACAGGAAAGTAGGACACACTTGGAATGATAAGTCTCCTGAAGTCTATAGAATAATGCCAGATTTACTGGGGAGGGGGCGTTGGCTGCCCACGGAGATGCCAGCGAGCGGCGGGGCCGTGCTGGTGCCATCTGGAGCCCCTCTGCTCCGCCAGCGGCACCCGCGGGAGCCCGGCCCGCGGGACACCCCGGGAGGCAGCCAGGAGCCAAGGCTCCGGCTCCGGGCAGGAACTTCCATCCCTCCCCAGTGAAGTATCTGCTGGTGGCACGGAGCAGCGGTTCCAGCCCAGAGTGTGGTTTTGGTTTAGCAGCTCCAGCGGCATCCTGTAATCATTTGCAGCCCTTGGAATGTATGGGTGAAATAGGAGAGATTTATCTGTTCATAGTTGTGATATGTAGACAATGGGTGTTCCTAATGAGGAACATCTGCTTTTGTGTTTTCCCAGAAAACATTATTCCACTATGAAAATGATACTCCCATCCTTTTCAGCAACACCGCAAAGAAAATATGGGCCTTTTCCTTTCTTTTATTTGCTTTTCTTTGGGTCAATCTAATTTCCCAGGGACACTTTTTCTGTGGCATCTTTTTACTGACTGCGCTGCAATTTACGGTGGGTTTGTTCTTTAACACGTGAGGTACTGTGCTGGAGGAGCGGCCCCGAAATGCCAGCAGATACTTAAATGTGTACAGTAATAAAAGCCTCCCCGCTCAGCCATGCTCCGTGAGAAACATCCCGGCGACGTAAATAAAAATTCCCAGTGAATTAAAAGGTCGCGGAGGCTCCTGACACCAAAAACCGCTTCCAAGGCCTCGGGTTTGGCTTTTACATTTCCAGCCCACTGCAGGATTCAAACATAGAATTACACAAGTTTATTTTAAATATCAGCACTGCTAATAAATTATTACTCCTGGGGTGCGTAAGGGGTTTTTCCCTTCTGTTTTTTGGGCTTTTTTAATCCCAGCGCATAAACAGTTCCGACTATCACGGAGTCTCCTAGTGTGGGCTGGAAGAAATGGGTGGCCATAGATCTCAATTCAGGATTGAATTATTGGTTCATATCCTGAGGACAAATATGCCTTATCTGGTCAAAAGCTGCTAAATGTATCCGAAGGACAAAAGGATCTAGCGAAGCATATTGGATATAATTCTTTTTTTTTTTTAAGCCAACTACCCAAGCGACTCCACTTCCTATGGGAAACTGTAAATTGACCCCCAAATGTGATGGGGAAAGGTTGTTCCGGGATGCTCAAGGGGGAAATGCAAGCCTGAAACCCAACCCTGACAACAAATTTAGGCACCAGGCTCCGAGCACATGGGTCGAGCGAATGTAAATATCGGGGATTTCAAATCCTCCTCGGCGCTTCCAGAGGGCTGGAACCCCTCCTCCAGAGCTTCCTCCCGGCCACACTTCCCTCCTAGGTTTGCTGCAATTTGCTGGGAGCAAACATCACATCCCACAGTCCTTCAAAAGCCCGGCTGGAGAGGCCACTCCGGCCTCTGCCGAGCTCCAGATTCTCTGCCATGAGAAGTGACAACTCTCTTTAGGAGGCTAAAATCCATGCCATCCCCATAAAGCCCAAATCTTGAAAATTCCTAATGCAGAAGGTGATTAACATTGCCATAAAATTGCCCTATCTTTAAATTTAGAAGTACAGCAGATTTTTCATCAATAATTAAGATCACTAAAGCATTTATGCTAGGCATAAATGGAGTTTCAATCTTCCTTATTCAAATAAACATGATAAACCCATTAACCAAATGTTTTCTGATTTTTTTTTATCTCTTCTCATGCTGCTGGAATATCAAATGATCCCCTAGTTCTGATAGTTTGGGGGAGGTATAAAAGCACTGGTGTTGGGTAGCTTGGCTCAGTTCTGCCAGGATAACCCTTCACACGACTGATACAAATTATCTCCCAGCAACTCCAGGATGTTATTATGGAAGAACCATCAGAATCCCTAAAAAGGTGATGTTTCACCACATCCTGGCACGTGCAAG